GACGCTTACGAGCTTTCCCCTTCTGTGATCCGTCTAACCAGATTTCCCCTTCTGTGATCCGTCTAACCAGATTTCCCCTTCTGTGATCCGTCTAACCAGATTTCCCCTTCTGTGATCCGTCTAACCAGATTTCCCCTTCTGTGATCCGTCTAACCAGATTTCCCCTTCTGTGATCCGTCTAACCAGATTTCCCCTTCTGTGATCCGTCTAACCAGATTTCCCCTTCTGTGATCTGTCTAACCAGATTTCCCCTTCTGTGATCCGTCTGACCAGTTTTCCCCTTCTGTGATCTGTATAACCAGCTGTTACACTTCCCAGGAATATCACAGAGCTCTAAAGATACTGCAAGAAGCACAGCACCATAAGCCAAACCTGAGCTTTCAGCTGTTAGAACTGTAAAAGTTCACAAATTTGGCTGTTTTTTCCCTGACCGGCATGCCAACAACTAAATCATTACTGACGTTATTAGTACAAAACGGGAGGAGGAGCACTGGCTGTGCAGGTGCGAGGTTATTTCTGTCCCAGAGCCCTCACTGTACTATTGTATTTGTGGACAAGTCTAAATGACGCCTTCTGGGCTTGAATTTTGGAAGCCTCAGAGCAGCTCTGGCTTAAGCAAACCACTTCCAGCGCAACAGATCCTTGAGCTACAACGTGCTGAAGAGAGATCGGCTCTCGCTCGGAGGGCAAAGGCACAACTCCGCTCGCAGCTGCCCCATCCCGAGGATTGTGCCGGCAGCACGGGGGGGTGCAGACGGTCTAACCGTGTGTTCAGTCACACCAGAGAGGCTCCACCCCGCTGCTTCTGCGTGAACACTGCTGCTGGTGCAAGGAGGATGAGAACACCAGAGCTAGGACCATGCTTTCTGATTTTTTTTCCAAATATCACTTTATAGAGCATTTCAGAAGTAAAATATGTAGAATCACAGAATCACAGAATGGTTTGGGCTGGAAGGGACCTTAAAGATCACCCAGTTCCAACCCCCCTGCCATGGGCAGGGACACCTTCCACTAGACCAGGTTGCTCCAAGCCTCATCCAGCCTGGCCTTGGACACTTCCAGGGATGGGGCATCCCCAGCTTCTCTGGGCCACCTGTCTCAGTGCCTCCCCACCCTCTCCAGGAAGAATTTCTTCCCGATATCTAATCTAGATAGATCATGCAGTGTCTGACAAAACGACAGCTAAGGGGCATCACGGGCGCTTTCCCTAAGAAGATCACTTGCACGACACCTTCGCACTTTGACATATACACCTATGGTATTGCCATGACTTTCCCCATTTATGCTACTTCAGTATTTTAAGAAACCTTCATCCATATGAGGTTTACAGCTATTTTCTGTTCAGCATCAAGAACAGGGTGTTGCTATGGAAACAGACGTACTCCCCCCAAATACTTCTGTTTCTCCTACTTTTGCTCTTCTAATCACTTAAATTGCAAGTGGTTCATGCAGAAAAATATCTTTGTTCTCTTTCCTGGAAAATGTGATACATTTCATCTTCTTATCACTTCCGCCAGTATAAATCCACAGAAGTAACAGTGTTGCTCCAAATTTAAATGTCATAAGCTGGGTGCTAGGCACACCGTTTTCAATCATTTTCTAATTCAGTACATCTTTGTCTGATGTTTTCTGTAAAAAACACACTCCGCCAGCAGAAGGGAAAACGCGTTTTACTTCATGTTGAAAATCATGAGACTTGTACTCACTTTCCAATTGCATTGGGCAGAATTGTCAGCTGATTGTCGTCCACTTTTAAAGTCGTAAGCCTTTTCAGCAGTCCTACAAAACAGGTAAGGAAGATGTAATAAAGAAATATTTCACATTCATCTTTTCTCCTTTCTGTCCTCTCCTATTTCCTTTAAGAAACAATGATTTCTGACACTGAGTAACTGTGATCTAGGTTTTACGAGACATCAGTTATACTGATGTTATATATATATATATAGGTGTATATATATAATATTATACACCATGTTATATATATAGTGTGTATATATATATATACACACATAGTTACATAGTGTGTATATATATAGTTACATACAGGGCAGTGTACAGACACATTCTTCTCCCAATGAAAACACGTTTCACCAGAATGAAGCACTGGTTAAATGTTAAGCTGAACTGCAAGTAAAATATTAAGTGTGTTTCTGGAGTCCTGAAAAACTGCTAAAAAAAGTAAATAGTACCTATGTGTGTAGGAAGAGCAGCATTTCTACTTATCTATTGATGTTTCAATTGAATACAAGTCCTGTTGCCTTGATTAAAAGGTGCTCAGGCTATAACAGAACATTAGGCAAATTATCTAAAGTAAAAGCTACATTTATAAAGCTTCACTGTATGTAGGTGTAGGCAGAAATCCAGAATGAGGTGGAAACCCAGAATCAATCCTGAATGCATTTGTGTATGTGGTTAATTCTCATTTTTAAAAGAATTCTTCTGAGCATAAGCAGATGTGTAAGTGGGTAACATCTACCAAGAAGGGAGTGAAACTTCTGCTTTACCAGCGTGTAATGGGAAAACAATAAAAAAGTAAAGAAATAGTGGGAAAAACATTGCATTAGAGTGCTAGAAACAGATTTCCACCTTCTGCAAGTTAATACCATTTCAAAATCTGTTCTTTCCTTGAAGGAATTCTGGATATGACAAAGTAGCATCTTTGAAAGGATTATTTGTAATTAATGCTGGGAATATTATAAATTAATCATTAATGCAGAGAAAAATGTTGAATGTGCCATAATATGAAAGCTGAAGCAAATGAAACCTGTAATCAAAAGGGATACTAGAAGCACTACTCATTTCAATTGCAGAACATTTTTGTTGAAAACTTTTCCAAAACCAGCATGTTCCAGGAAACATCTAGATTTCAACAGCATTTGGACCAAAATGACTTTCAGCGAGTTCTTATCTGAAAATGCAGGATTAAAATGACTCTTTTTGCTTTACTTCTGTTTACCACTCAGTAACAGGAATTTGGAAAAGAGAACTGAATATATCTACTTGCAGGAATGTATAATTCAAAATGTAAAATTGTATTCCTTTTGTACAGGATTTAAATGCCCTCTAAAAATCACTCTGTATATGCATATCAGAAACCCCAAAAAGTTAAAATTCTATAATTTATGGTGAGACGTAGAAGACCAAAATGGAAGAGAGCTGTAAAAGACAGCCATGGAACACAGCAATATTAGTTTGCAATATATTCTGGAGTCGTGTCTGTGTTGATTTAAAACTCGGGAATTGAACATTCCAGGTCCAAAGGGCTGCACTTAGGCCAGTGAAAAGTGTGCTACAGTGGGCTCATTGTCTGGAAGCAAGAGAAGAGGGGAAAGACCTCAGTGCTTCTGAAGAAAGTATAAGGGATGAAGTGTGAAATGAATTATCCAGATGTACAGTGATATACCCACAACCGTTTAGCTTCCAGAATTTCTGTATTTTCAGAAATTCAATGCACACAACACAGTCAAGGAAGAAAGGGACTCCTCTGAGCTATTCCCTTGTTTAATGCTCTGGTATGGAATTGCACTGTGGCAACTCAGAGGAGCAACTTCCTTCACGAGTTTCAGGCTGTTAACACAATCGCTGTTACGCTCACTCTCCAATGCAGCTTGGATGAATGATCTCTCTCTTTGCTTCTTTCCTGTCAAATGGCGAATCAGATCATCGATACCTTCGAACCACGGATTTTTTTCCAGACTTTACAAAATGGTTTCCCTGGGCTGTCCAGACACATATGTTTCAAACCCCTTTGGAATTTAACGGTAATTCTTGTTCCAGCTATTACCAAGTCTCATCATTCCCCCCCGAAAGATAAAAATGAAATCCTCAGCTGTACAAGATCACAAGAAATCTTGAGCATTTCTCACCTATGGAGTCTGGCAGTTGCTGCAACATATTGGATGACAACAGGAGATCTTCAAGTCCTTCACATCCCGATATGTCCAAATCAACAGTTTCTATCCTGTTTTTTGACACATCCAGGTACACGAGCTGTTTTAACTTCCCTATAGACTTAATAGCACGTTACAAAGTGTTACTTGAACGGATACACACTGCATGCCAGTTTCTATGTTTAATTAAAGACAAACAATAGTAACACTGGCTAATATTCAGTTATCTCAGCATCCTTCTTCCAAGAGCTATTCCACTGAAGCCCTTTCAGTAGTGGGCTAATAGACTTCCTGTTCAGGCACTTGCAAAAGGAACTGCAGCCAACTAAATGAGACATAACAAACTAATTAATGTGTTCCAGATTCATTAAATCTGCTGAAAGTTTGAGTTCTCAGTCGTACAGCTGCACTGGACAGAGATCCAAGGGACATTTACTCACAGGTCACATCTACTCATGGCAGCAGCACTTAGGGTCACAGAGGCTACACAAGCAGGTGAAGCTTTTCTGTGTCAAACCGATTCTCTGAACTCTGTAAAATCTAAAATTAGACCTTAGATATTCATCCTATGAGCAGTTAATCCCAACGGTACACTTTTGTGAGTACAGTTCTTTTGTGAGCAGCTGTAACATCAAAGAGCAACATGACACCAGTTCTTCCCTAATTTCTTGGAAAAATGCCTGTAGGATGTAAGAGTTTGAAGCCTGCAGAAGCCACCTGCTTCTTGATCCATTATCACAGGAGGGTCACTTCATTCTAGACAAATTTCACCAGGAAAATCAACAAAAAGATGCTGCTGTTTTCCTTAAACTAAAACCCACCAGTCTTCATGGCCTAGGCAGGAACTTCATCGATTTTGGGAATGACATGGGAATCCCTTGCCAAGTGTATAGATTCTATAAAAGTTCCTAGGAGCGGGTTTTTTAGATATTTACATGTGCTTTCAGTGGTTATTTTCTGTACACAGGAAGAAGGACAATAGTTTTAGACAGCTGCGTCTGCAGGTACTTCCGAAGCAGCATGACTACAGCCTGCGCTTCATCTCCTGCCTTCCCGAGGCCTGCTCTCTGTGTCTAGGGAGGCGGTCTCATGTTACCTTCAGTCATGTCTGAGTTGTTGCCTAAAGGGACAATCTCCCTTTCCACCCCAACCTTTGCCATTCTACCCATATTGACAGTCGAATACAACCCTTGTTTCTAGCACAGACCACCTTTTAAAAAACTGAATTGTTAACACTGGAAACCTGGCGAATCTCTAAATCTTAAAATCAATTACCAGTTGGTATTTCCTTTCTATTTGTAAAAGTCAAAATTGAAGGCTAACATTAAGTGCTCTGGACCTCTTGTTTTGGAGAAGCCTTTCATAAAACATCATCTCGGGTCTACTAAAACCAGATTCAGGAAAGATGAATAATTCGCTGAAAATAATTACGCGCTTTGGGATTCAGTTCCACGATGGACTGCGCATCTTCAAATCTATATACCCTCTTCAGGGATTATGAGCAGGACTGGGTTTGGAATACATTTACTCCCTGGATATATTAACCAATGTGATTGCGAACAGAAAAGAAACAGAACAACGGTGCCCACACTCTCTTGTCCAGCTGAGATTTCTTCTGCTCAGTTACAGTGCAGCAACAATACCGCAATATTTCTGTTCTTGATCTCCAGCTGGTTTCAGCATCAAGAAACAGTTTCAACATCAGCTGTTCTTCTCACTAACAAAGCACTCAAAAAGCAGGTATTTGGCCAGTGACTGAAAATGATCATTTGCTGTGCAAACATCCTGCTTAACACAGAATAAAAAATCAATGTAATCTATCGAAGACAAAACCCAGTCATTGCTTCACGCAGAAGAGTGAATTTTGATTAATAAATGTTCAGTGCTGAAAGAGGAAGTACTCCTCCTTCCAACATCCAGACGTATTTCTGCCAGATCCGGTTCTAAACTCCTCCTGAGACATGAAGAGCATCACTGTGTGAAACACGTGACCTGTCACCCGTGTGATAAAAAGCTAACGATGGGGATCCCTTTCTCCAGTCCTAATCAGTTCAGGCACTTTACAGTGATGTTCTCAAATCATTTATGGCAGCAAAAATTGAAAACCAAAGTTCTATGGTGGGGCAGCAACAACTCAGAAACAGTATTAATACATAACGACAACCCTACTGTTTAGATTTCAAAGTGTGTTTTGCTCCCTTTCTAACTGGGGTGCTTTCTAGAGGAACTGCTCCTCATTCCACTGCCTCAGAATTGCTCTTAGTGTGGCTGAATCCGTACATGCCACCTGTTATTTTCAAGTTCATTTAGATTTCCTCCTCCTTTTAAAACTCAGCGTGGGTTTTAATGAAACTGCTAGCTAATGCACGCTGCCTGAGAAGAAAACAGGAAATAATTTCCCCTCACAATGAAAAATGCACAACGCTTAAATGAAACCGGCACGTACCCCTGTAGACACCATCATGCACTCACACAAGGTGTAAAAGGTCTTGGTGTGAATGGCTGTGCTGAGACTTTTATATTATTAATGACTAGACGAACTAGGAATATGTACCCACCCAAGAAAATGCACATGCATTTATTTACTGCAAGGTAAACAGCTCGCTGTATCACACAATAATTTGATTACATAAAATAAATGTTCATACCCCAGGTAGTATTTGCAAGGAATTATTGTCCATCCACAATTCCTTGAGATTTTGTATTTGTTCGAGAACCTCAGGCTGAGGAAAAGAATACAGTATTATGGACAGTTACATAAATCACTATCTTTTTAAGTTAAATATAAATCGATACTTTCTTAAAAAAAAAGACTCCCTCTTCACCTTCCTTTTTTTCTCTGATAACCCACATCGGACTTTCAGACAGTTACTGACACCAGCACTAGGCTCATTTCCTCCAGTTTAACCAACCCCTCTTTTTTAAAACAGGCAACATTTAAGAACATTTTAGACAAGAAACGAATACAAAGAAGAACTCCATAGAAGTCCTTATTCTAATGAGTCTGCTGGCCGTATGCAATTAAGGAAGGTGGCAAATAAGAGAAGTGAGAATTGTGGAGCTCCAGGAACAATGCATCGAAAAGAAAGACCAAATCTCATCTTGCAGCACGTGCTAAACTCCGCCTTTTGCAAGATTTATAGTCTTAAACATAGTTTAGCAGAGCCATATTGCAGAACGCTTTCCTGGATACACCACACTTACATATGACTTAATGTCTGCAACTGCCATATTAAGTAGTTAAAATGGTGGTATGCAACGATCAAGCCTTAAAATTACAATATTAAGCTTTAATCAAAGATGTTCTCCTATTTTCAACACTCTAGGACACTAGTGAAACTGAAAAAGGCAATTCTCCAAATCATTTCTCCTTCATTACAGCTGTGGAAATCAAGAATTGCCAGATCACACACATTCCCATGTTCCAGCCTAAGCAGCATTTTTCTTTGTCATGAAAAACTATTTTCACAGGTAAAACAAGACTTTCAGTTTGCCTCAGCTCTGTAAAACTGTAGAGATTTTTTGCCAAGTCTGCCAGAAACTGGTATCGAATATTTAATTTGGTTCTGACTTAGGCAGATTCCAGCATTTTAAATGTCTGTAGTACTGTTTCACTGGCATTACTTCAACAGAGCGAGAAACAAATGCATCTGCCTAGCATCACAGGACCGTAAGAGAGACCTCTCATCATCTCCTGTGGTCTAAGTTCCTCGGAATGTTGTCATCTCCATAAGACATATGATTTTACAGTAGCCCAGGTCACACGGTACGTTATGGGAGAAGCTCCCGACGTATCATCGGGTAAGAAAGAACCTGCTGATCTGGAGAGCTCAATCCCTCAGTTTTCCATGTTGTCACATAATTTTTTTCTATTAAAAAAATGATTAGTTACTGTTTTGAAGATAATTTATTTCGGCTTGACTAATCCTATTGAAATTTTGTTGTCCTTCAATGGGTAAAACCACTTCTAATTTCCAGACTAAATTAATTAATGGTCATTTCATACTATTTGTTCCTGTGATGATCAATGGTTCTTTATTCCTCCGGAGTGTTCACTGACGGCAGTTATTATAGATAATCATAATTTCTCCTCTCAACTTTAATTCTCTTTTAAATTCCTCTCATTAGACAGACGCCCTTCTCAAAGGCAGCAGCCTCCTCCTATGTTGTACATATGATTTGAAATTCCTTGAGAATGGATTATGGCATTCCATACTTCCCATGAGATCTCACTGATGTTCTGATAAGTGCTGTTAAAAACTTCTTATTTGTCTCTGTTAGAAATGCTTCTGCTGACATTTTTTGGGAGAATATTGTCCTTTTCCGTGCAGATTGCCACAATTAGAAGAGAACAGTTTAGCTGAGCTGGAAGGGACCTACAACCATCACCCAGTCCAACCGCCTGACCATTTCAGGGCTGGCCCAAATTTAAGATATCATAAAGGGCATTGTCCAAGTGCCTCAGGCACTGCCAGGCTGGGGACATAAGGCACACACAGACGTTTATTCTGCCATCAGTGCAATAGTGAGTGTCACAGTATTCATTTGTTGTCATACAAAAGCACAGGCGCTCCCCAACAGCCCGAGCACTGATGGTCCAAAATCTAAATGTTAATAGCAATTTTTAACATTTGCAGGAAATCATGATAGATATTAAGAAATTAACACATAATTACTTGTATTAATTGTACAAGTATTTGTGTTGAGATCAACCATCCATCCCACACTGAAGTATTCCAGCGGTAGCAACCAGCTCAGAGTGAATCTGTGACCTCGAAGCCTGATCAGGATATTGTATCATCGACACTGACCTCATGAACTATGATCACCCTTCTATTCCACACGGAAACGTGACCACAGCACGTGGCCACAACACAATAAAGCCTTTCCCGTAAAACTTCACCACCCCATACACAGAGCATCAAAAACACACAAGCTACCTGATAAAACACGGTGCATTTCTTACCAGTTCAGAGAATTCATTATTGCCCAGGTCAAGCCTCTCCAGCTGAGTCAGTTTGTGCATTGACCTGTAACAGATTAGGAGATGTCTAAGATGACATTTTTACTTGCCAAACATTGGTCAAATCTTGTTACAGATAAAAATAAAGCTCAAATGATACTGCTATTGCAAAAATAATCACATCAGACTGATGCTGATGCGGGTGAGAATAACAGACTCGAAGGCATAAAGTCTTGAACTAAAAAGCCAGCAACAATTGCTTTAGTATAAAACCAAACATAAAATATTGGCACAGTTTTGATTAGTTGCTCAAGGAAAATGACTCGTTTTATATTTATAAACATTTGAAAGTAATATAAATGATGACATTTTGCATACAGATTTACAAATTTGTTATCAACTGCTATATAAACCACCAGAAAGTGTACAAAGTCTGGTCGTTACGTCCCTCCAGCGGTACCTAACTGCAGCCACGACGCAAAGGCACTTCGTGTCGAGGATCGGCGTGCCAACCGAGTTAAGCTTAGACGAGGCTCGGTTTATGTTCTCGGGCCGGTTTAACAGAATGCCCTGAGCTGGGGGGTCCCCGCTCTGGGATGTACTTGGGGTGACCGGACACGTGGCTTCCATTTCGGTGTAAGTCAGCTGTCACACCGACAAACAGCGGCGTTTAGTGACACCAGCAGCTTGTGACAACTCTATCACTAGAAGCAGATAAACAACAGGATTCAGATTTTTAACCCAATGACCAATCTGCGACCTCCTCTGAGGGCAAGAAAGGCTTCGCCCAGTCTTTGCTGCCAAAGACTGTGCAAATGACAGCAAAACCAACCAACGCAGCTTACCCGTCTGCACAAGAAGTGTCACATAAGCGTGTGGCGTAAGAAAGCAAACCAAAAGTTAGGATCAAGCTTGCTTTATGCAATAAAGGGCTTTAAATGGGGAATAACATGGATTTGCGTCTGTGACTGATCGCTACGCAGCAGCAAAAAAAGCACCTGTATGCTTGGGCTCAGGCGGCTGCAACGTTGAACTGAAAGTGAGAAGTTGCTACAAATTACGTAATTAAATTCTTCATTTACCGAACTCTACGGGATAAATCTCCCAGGTTTATCTCCGTGCTGTGAGAAAACTGGTTCTCTCGACTGCAGCTCACACTGCCAAAGGCACCCAGCACAGACTATATGTGGACTGGCTGGTAAAAGCATTTCAAACCTACCCATTTTGAATAAAGGCACTTTTAAAACAATACACAGTTTAAAAAGCTGCACTTAACTCCAAGAAGTAATCACAAAGCAGCTAAGATCCTTTCAAAATGAGAGGAAAATTGCTGAGCAGCTCGTGAGGGCTGAGCGTGCTGGAAGGATGGCAGGACGGCAGCATGCTTAACTGGGACTGGTGTTCTGCACTGGTGCAGCCTACAACTTTGCTCATACTGGAAAGATAAGAAGTTTTTTCTAAAGCTAATTTGCTACACAATACATGTGTACTATGTGATCCTCCAGGCCCTTCCACAATGTTAGAATTTCCAATCCATTTGGAGTTAAGAATAGGGAGTTGTATTCAAAATTACGATGACGCTGGAGAATGAGAGCTATTTCCTCACTTGAATATATATTGATTTGATTTTTTATAACGGTTGAGATTTTAAAGTTAGTAAATGATTTCAAATCGTGCACTCAATCCCCTTATTTTATATTTTAAAAGGTTATTAAATTTAAACCAAATGGCTTTATAAATATTCCATACAGATTTCATTCATTTGGGAAAAAATTGAATTATGATTATAGAATCATAGAATCATAGAATGGTTTGGGTTGGAAGGGACCTTAAAGACCATCCAGTTCCAACCCCCTGCCATGGGCAGGGACACCTTCCACTAGACCAGGTTGCTCCAAGCCACATCCAGCCTGGCCTTGAAGACATCCAGGGATGGGGCAGCCACAGCTTCTCTGGGCAACCTGTTCCAGTGCCTCACCACCCTCTCTGTGAAGAATTTCTTCCTGACATCTAATCTAAACCTCCCTGATTTCAATTTATACCGATTACCCTTTGTCCTATCACTACAGGCTCTTGTAAAAAGTCCTCTCCCAGTACCCTTGTAGGCCCCTTCAGATACTGGAAAGCTTATATTATTCCGGGCCTCTTAATGAAAATTCTGCCCTAAACAAGGGGGTTTAGATAGTAAGGCTTCCAGGGAGCTAAGTGCCGCAGCCACGCAAGCAGTGTGATGTGCCAGAGAGCGACCCCAGACTCTGTCCAAACGTGAAAGGGTTCCTCACACAGACTGGGCTCCTCCTGGTTAGTCCTACCCCAAGCTATTCCCGGGCAAATCTGGGAGCCAGCCTGAGCCAGGACCCCTTCCAAAAGGTGATGTGGCTACTCTCTTCTGGATCATGTTCACATTTAATACATTAATTCCTGCCTTTGCTTCCGTGCACAAAACAGGAACAGGATGTTACTTCTACAGCAGAATTTCTCTTTAAGCCCTGGTAGACCAATATGCTCTAAACACCACCCTGGACCGTGGTGGTGGTAAAAAAGGAGGCTAAAAATAATTAAGTAATTTAGCATTAACTGCAACAGTCCGTTCAGAGGCCTTCTAACGTAATCCGAGTCGACCCTAATCCAAAAAATCAGCATAGTCCTAATCCATGGGACCTAAAGTACCAACCATTCTGTCTCCGCGATTTGTATCGGAAGTAAAACTGATTGTGAAAGATGCTATGGCTGAAAAACACAGACCTGTTTTAACATTTGTATCATGGAAGAACGAGATTGTGATGGGGCTAGATAAAGAGCACTGCTGCATATTTACTACAAGCAAAGTTTACTGCTAGTTTTCTAAATAGGAAAATAATTAACAGAAATATAACTGCCATTCTTCAGTAGAGTAACGCATTTTGGTAGACATACATTACCAAAATCAAAAAGAACATGTATATAAACAAACGTTCTGCTCTCAAGTTTAAGAAGTGATACAGTTTCTTAGATTTCTTCAATTAACCTACTGTATTTCTTCACCACTCGGCGTAATTTAAGGAATGACCCTTAGGGTCTCAAATTAAGATCAGGCACCAGATGTGCTCCTGCACTTCACAGGAATTAATGTCCTGTACAGAGAGGTTGTTAAAATAGATCTAGGCCTCTTCGGCCAATAGTTTGCCACTGAACTAAATCAGTAATTCCAACTGACAGAACCTGCTGTCTTTCACATTTAGGTTGTTACCTTTCACCTAACGTAATCTGCAGTCTTCTCAAACACAGAAAAATTAAGCTAGCTAATGTAATAAATACTGATGCATTGCCACAACGATTTTGGGAAGCGCCATGCCAAGTCCTAGAGCCCTTTGAAGCTGATGTCACCAGCGCTGTGAAAGCACTGGTGATGGCACCGCAGGACATGCCCCTGTGGTACCGCTCTCTTCAGTGCCCTCGGTGCTACTCGGCCTGCTTTACCTTTATGGATCTCGAAAATGTTCTCCCCAGTGTTCATCTGCTTGCTCATTATTGCTCTTTTTTGGTCCAGTTTTGCAGAATCTCCGTTTCCTCACAAGTCTGAACCTAGCAAATAGGTTCTTTCTGCTGACCACCTGGTGTTCTGGAAATACCCAGGAACAGTCACAGTTCACGTTAAGGACCACTTCACCTCCCTGTGCTGATGCTCACCCTAACGCAGATAAAATCACGATAGCTTTTCTTCTCAGTGCTTTCTGATCGTTCACCTATTTCATACTCAACTCCACTGCTGTACGTGGCTTCTTTATATTTTTCTTTTCCCTGTCCCACAACGACTCCACATCTATTTTCCAATATACTTTCCAACCTATTTGATCCACGTTCACAAATATCTTTGAGACAGGAAAGCGAGAGAGACTGTGCTTGTTTGCTAAAAGGAATGGTAGCTGGCCACGCCGCTCCCAAGGGGTCAGCGCCTACGTTACAATTAACTTAAAAGTAGAAGCGAATTTTTGACTACAAGGCACGAACCACGAAGTTACAGGTTAAGCATGGAGGAGTTAAACCTGACACAACTCCAGAACAACACTGATCAATATAGCTACGATCAGCCCAGACTGAGCACACCAATTCTAGAACAACTGCCGACATAGTCCACACAGACCCCCACCGCAGCCACATACGTTGCAATTCATGCTCCACAGTTCCCAACTTGCCTCTTACTGCTTTTTTGTTCTTCTGCTATTCATTACTTTGAACTATTAATGCTATAAAATCGGAAGGAATAATGAAATGTGGAGTCAGTCCTTAGTATGCAAGAGTATCTGGAAGGCTGGGAGCCAGAAGCATTCCACCAGCACAACAGATGAGGAAGCGTAAGGAAGATGCTGAAGTCACATGGATGAAGAGAATGTTTCACACTGTCCCCAAAAGGAATCCAATTTATATTACAACCTCCATTAATAAAGTAGTGACAGATGTTTGTAACCCCTCTGGTGCTGACTGCACTGCACTTCCCTTTGGAAGCATCTTGCACAACCTGACTGAAATTTTACACACCCAGAGTAAAGCTGAGTTTATTAAACAAAGCTGCAACACGCTCAAGCGGCTCAGTTACACTCCCTTTCTCTGAAACGATGCATACATCCCCAAAAATGTGACTTTTGGCCTAACTCACTCCTCCTCAAACTTTCACCATTGTGTCTTAATCGGTTTGTTATTAATCTAGTTCAGACTCCTGACATATTGATACAAGTTGTAAATATCGTATACACATTTTTAAATGAATGGAAGCCAACGCAGTAAGTAATTACATTTCTAATTGCAAACTTGATGACTATGGAGACTCTTATTACCATACAGAATCTCATTAATTCGATGAGAATCCTTTACACCAAGGTGTGCACTCCCTGCCCGTACCTGTTTGCAAGACTGGACTCGAGTTCTGTAACTATTACACCTACCTATCCACAATTTACCAGTTGCTGTTTCGGAAATCAAGGTATTTTTCTTCGAGCCAGCCAACAGGGCCCCTCTGAAGACACGGCGCCCGCTCGGCAAGCAGGTAGCGCACACGCGCAGCCTGAACGATTAGGATGTGAAAAGCAT